TGCTGAAATTTTTGTTTTGGGTTTTTCCTGATTATCTTTTTTTGAAGATGTATCTTCTGTTGCTCTAGCTGTTCAAGGCTGGTCTGCTTGTCCTTGCTAGTGGGAATGTCTCACCTCACAAGGTTGTGGATGGGACTCAGGATTCCACCTAAGGTTGTATACTCTGCAAAGGCTTTGCAAGAGGCATATTTCACTGGGCAAGTTGTAGAACCCCTTTTAGGCATTACAATCAGTTATAGGCTGAAGATGGGCTTACAGGTTTTCTGTAATCATGTTTCCCAACATTCCTTTCTATCCCACTCATGTGTCTATATTACAATAGTAGGCAAGGGAAACCAATATTCATAAGACAGTCAAGCATTTCAGTATTATTTCCCCTCTTCAAACTATGCCTAGATCCCTGTATCACAGAGCCCTTTTGTTCTAAGGTTGAGCATTACCTCTGTCCCACTTATGCCATGCAAACCTGTCTAAGTGTTCCCCTATCTATCTTGTTCTTACACCTCCTCCCACTTCTTGTATTGCCCTCCACAACACCCAAACTAAATCCCCCACCTCAACCTCACTGTTGTGGCTCCCTTATATTCCATTAACTCTTCCCTACATTTAAGACAGTTTATTTTATCTTGTAATCTACCTGACCTTCCCACCACCTGGATCTCTTTTCCTCTGTGTTTACCTTCTTTCACATTGTAATTGTTTTGATCATAGACTGATTGCCCAGAGCCTCTGTTCTTAGGATTTTATTCTGTTCTTGACTGTTCCATTTGCAAATTGAGTTCATGGTGATGCTGCCATGTACGTCATTCCCTGGTTGTTGTCTGTTCTTGTTGGTCTCAGTCCACAGAACTTCCTTTAGGATATTTTTCATAGCAGGGTTTGCTTTGGCAAAATCCCTTATCTTCTGTTTATCCTGGAATGTTTTGATTACACCATCGTATTAGATTGACAGCTTTGCTGGGTAGAGGATTCTTGGGTGGCAATTTTTTTCTTTCAGGGTTTTATATGTGTCTCCCTAATTGCCTTCTTGCTTACATGGTTTCTATTGAGAGATCCGAGCTTAATCTGATTTGCTTGCCTTTGTATGTCACACTTCTCTTTTCCCTAGTTGCTTTCAGGATTCTGTCCTTATCTTTGATTTTGGAGAGCTTGATTATTATCTGTCTTGTGGTTTTCTTTTAAGGTCTATCCTTCCTGGGGTTTGTTGAGCTTCTTGAATCCATACCTTTTCAGGATGTTAGGGAAGTCTTCTTCCAGAAGCTCTTCAACTATCTCCTCTGTGGACTTGTGTGATTCTTCCTGTTCTGGAATGCCAATAATTCTTAAGTTATTCCTCTTCATGTTGTCTAACATGATTCTTAGGCCTTCTTCTGATTTTTTTTTATCCTTTTTTGTGCTAGCTTTTCTATCTTAGTAGTGTTGAGAGGTTTATCTTCTAGCTCATTAGTTCTGGCTTCAAGCTATTCAATTCTACTCCTTTGCCCTTTTAGTGCATTGTCCATTTCTGATATTCTATTATTAATCTCTTTCTGTAGGTTTTGAATTGTTTCTAATGCTGTATCTATCTTATTTGATTGTTCCTGCAGCACTTTCCTGACTTCTTCCTTATTTTTCTCAACTGCATTGTACAGTATTTTGATCCATTTTATATTCATTTTTCTGAATTCCTTCTCAGGCATTTCCAAAGCCTGCCCATCTTCCAGTATGGAGTGTAGGTCTACTTCCAGCTCATTTGCCTCGGTCACTTTATCTCGTTTCTGGACATGTGCTGATATGGTCATCTGCTTCTGTTTTTTGGGCATATTCAAGAGTTATCTGTGGCCTTAATACTTAAATGGATGTGTATTTTGGTATTTTTTATGCTTTCTGATTGCCTCCAGGTAGATGTGATCAGGAGATGGGATTCCCTTTTCATTCTACTTCCTGAGAAATTTCAAGATGCCACTGTTGGTTATTGTGACGTAACTCAGGATTTAATTTTCAGCCTATTTCCTATTTAGTCTGCCTGTCCCACTCCACAATCCCCATTCAGGCCTTTTTCCTAGTGATAAATAGTTCAGGGCCAGCTGTGGCCATTCTGCCTCTGCCATTTGGTTTCAAGTGGAAACTGTCACTTTAAACTTCGAGGAGATCTGTGTGCATGTGTAGTAGAACCCTCTGGCGTGGGGTTGGGGTGTCCACTTGCTCAGGCACCCCCTGTAGTCACCAGAATGGAGGTGCACAGACAGTGAGAGACCAATGAACAGATAGAAAAAACAGAATGTCCACACCTTTACCTCCGTGGTTCTGTCCATCATCTATGGTTGTTCTGATCCTTCCCCCACTTGGTCTTGCCCAAGATGGTGACTCCAGGAGCAGCTGAGCATCTTGAATTAGACAACAATGGATTTCTTGCTTCTGCTACAAATTCCC